AGCTAGCCAACCTTGGCAGTCAACCAGGTCAACCTTGGCAGTCAACCTTGGCAGTCAACCAGGTCAACCTTGGCAGGCAACCAGGTTAGGAATTATAAATACTGGAGTAAAGTGAGTAATAGTTTGTCAATGCAATTTGTTTCATATTAAATATATGATGAAATAACACTAAATGTGTAGTCGGCTTGAGTAACCTTTCCTTGTAACTTACTGAGTCATGAGTCTCAGGGAGTCTGGTGGAGGTTGTGATTTATGTCAATATTTACAATTATTAAAAATAACAAGACAACTGGCGAACACGATGCAGTTATTCCCCATTCTTCTTGTAGGAATGCAACAAAAGGCAGAACTCTAAAGAAACTGCTTCTTTTGGGGACCCCGTAGGCCTATGGCAGTTTTTTTCAGGGAAAAGAAACCTGTTAGGTTTAGCATGGTTGTCCTTAGGCCAACGCTGACCTTCCTCAGGATGCAGCCCACAACAGTTGCCTAACTCCTGGATAGGTATTTACTGTTAAGTGAAAATAGCTATCATGTAAAGAAATGATTGCCCAAATGCTTCTGTCCTGCCACGGGAATTGAACCTGGGACCTTGTGGTTGTGGCCCGCATGCACACACCAGTCACCAATACGACAGTCACACACTAACTTGACAGTCACTTGGCAGTTATTCGCCAACATAAGAAGTGACTAACCATGCTGACAGCCCCCAAGTAATACGAAAACTTTTCACCAACAGGAGAGTCATTCACAAACACGACACACGCACCAACAGGACAGTTGGAAATTCCGACGTCAAATTACTAACTCCTGACAAACCAAATTAAAATGGCTATGTCAGATACCTACTAACAATATTAACATTACTAATCTTATCATAGAGAACGTCCATAGTGGCTCCCAGGAAAAACGGGAATTTGCCAGGTCAGCAAAGTAGCTGTGGTACCTAATATCTCTCTTAATAGACTTTTAATTTAACTCTCAGGCTGGAGTTATTATGAGAAACATATTTATTAAGATTGGTTACCATCGTAATTAATGCATAAATAACCGTCTTCCTCATATAACTGAGAATTATATCTGAGAAAAACTGTACCCGTCCGGTATGTATCCTGGGAGGAAGAGGCGGGCCATGCGACCCCAAGGAGTTCAAGTATGTTTATTGAGACAAGAAAAATTCATCTCAAAGAGAGAGAGTAGCTTAGGCTATTTCTACCCTTCACGCCAAGGAGTACACACATGGCAGTTCAGATGCCATGTTAGTGTAATGGTATATGCACACCATAGCCCCTTCCCTTTCCCCTTCCCCCTTTCTCTTCTCCTTCCTCTTCCCCCTTCCCTTCTCTCGCTTGCCTTCCCTCCCTTGGGTCATTTCTGTCTTTTGTCACGGGGGGGTCATAAACAGCTTGAAGTCACTTGCTCCCCTCTCTCTCCTGTCCTCCGGGCCAGTGACGAATTGGGTATATTACCCCCAGGGCTAATAAACTTGTGATCTCAAGTTACACGTGGGTGCCCAGCCAGTAAAGTCGTTGGTGTCTTCCCAGTTTTTGGTGTTTTCTGTCAAGAGGAATTGACCCTTATGGTCAAGCCTGATCCGGATTGGTTAAAGACATGTAGGCCTGGGGAGGCGGGGCCTCACAGGTTAGTGCCTGCCCATGCCATTGGCCCCGGTTTCTAGAGCACCTAGTCATGGTAAAATCCATTGGCCATAGGCTTGGGATAGGCGGAGTAGATGTGGGCCTAGGAACTAGGGGGTGGAGCCTGTCCCACTGGTGAGCGTTTTTAATAAAGAAATGTTAGTGTGTCTGGGGACCTTGGCTGAGGTACATACAGGTCAACTGACCTGCGGCCAGCCAATCAACATCCTTTGGCAGGCTGCAGTATTGAAGGTAAATGTGCACTTTGAGTTGTAACACTGGTATTACAGGCCGTGCCTCATAGGAGATATTAATTTTTAGTTAGAGTAGGCTATCTTGAGGTTATCTTGAGATGATTTCGGGGCTTTAGTGTCCCCGCGGCCCGGTCCTCGACCAGGCCTCCACCCCCAGGAAGCAGCCCGTGACAGCTGACTAACTCCCAGGTACCTATTTACTGCTAGGTAACAGGGGCATTCAGGGTGAAAGAAACTTTGCCCATTTGTTTCTGCCTCGTGCGGGAATCGAACCCGCGCCACAGAATTACGAGTCCTGCGCGCTATCCACCAGGCTACGAGGCCCCAAACGAGGATATGTTTCAATTTTGATTTAAATATGCTGGTTCCAATAAAGAAATAATATTAATGTAATTTTTGTTTAGTTATCTGTTCCCTTTGATTAATGACTGTGTTATTCATTCTTGTGATTCTCATTTGCTGTGCTAGAAGTTCCCCAGTGTTCTCCATCTTATGAATAGTAAAGTCGCTCTAGAATCTCCCGTTCAGTTCCGTAAGACTACAGGTTTAATCCATTAAGAGTCATTTACTTTGAGTTCCCTGATTATTGAGTCCCTTCCTTCCTAGGGTCTCAATAATTTTAGACACATTCATTTATGTTTGGAAGGTGGTGGCAGTGTTTAATGTTTTTATTTCATAATTAGTAATAAATTAATAACCCCTATCCTTGTTGTGTCCTCATTTAATATTCAGTTTATATTCGTGGCCGTCCAGTGAGGGGTCATACTGGACTGTAACAGAGTTAAGCTGGGGTATTGAGCGAAGAGAGAGCCGTTCACAGAGTACAGAGAAGGGGTTACAATTGAAAGGTTCAGGGTGATTACAAGGGTACAATCGAGGGTTATTACATTAGCACGGATGTGCCAACTCTCCTCAGAACGTGACGCCATGTTTGTGCACCGAGTAGCCCATAGACGCACAAATGTACTAGTGTTTAATATAATCAACACGTACATCTTTCCCGAGTCTCGCAATACAGGAACAGCAAGATTTGTCCCAACCGTCGAGCTCTACGTTAATGAAAGTATCGTTTTCGACTGATTGTCTATTTGGGTGGTGGCTATTTACATAATTTATTGAGCATTGCCCGGTTGTGCTACAGGCGCTCTAACCAAACTGGGAAACCAAAATTACTAATGCTTACTCTTCTACCTTGAATATACTTAGTATGTTGATAACAGTGAACAACTTAACACTTATTCGGCAGGTACTGTACCAGAGAAGGACGTCGGAAGACCTGTAGTAACCTAAGGTTCCTTAAGTCGTCATTACAGTGTCTGCCTGCAAGGTTCCCTGTCCGCGATTGATGGAAATCCAGGGCATCTTATTAGGCCATTACGACTTTGGAGCTAAGCTTTAAAAGTACACACACTAACTTGTAGATAACTAGCATTTGTAGTCTTGTTACCCACATCTGGTGGTATAGATTATGAAATATAACCTCCCCCCGAAATTATGTGGGTTGGGTAACACCTGGCAGGAAATTAATTTAGAAAATACATTTCATTTAGAACTACAGTCCATTTATTAATTCAATTATTTATTTCTAAATCTACGTTAAATATTTTAATAAAATAAATTCCTAATAAAAAATTCACTAACATGACAGTCTCACCAACAGGACAGTCACTAACATGACAGTCTCACCAACAGGACAGTCACTAACATGACAGTCTCACCAACAGGACAGTCACTAACACACGACAGTCTCACCAACAGGACAGTCACTAACATGACAGTCTCACCAACAGGACAGTCACTAACACACGACAGTCTCACCAACAGGACAGTCACTAACATGACAGTCTCACCAACAGGACAGTCACTAACATGACAGTCTCACCAACAGGACAGTCACTAACACACGACAGTCACTAACACACGACAGTCTCACCAACAGGACAGTCACTAACACACGACAGTCACTAACACACGACAGTCTCACCAACAGGACAGTCACTAACATGACAGTCTCACCAACAGGACAGTCACTAACATGACAGTCTCACCAACAGGACAGTCACTAACATGACAGTCTCACCAACAGGACAGTCACTAACATGACAGTCTCACCAACAGGACAGTCACTAACACACGACAGTCTCACCAACAGGACAGTCACTAACATGACAGTCTCACCAACAGGACAGTCACTAACACACGACAGTCTCACCAACAGGACAGTCACTAACATGACAGTCTCACCAACAGGACAGTCACTAACATGACAGTCTCACCAACAGGACAGTCACTAACACACGACAGTCACTAACACACGACAGTCTCACCAACAGGACAGTCACTAACACACGACAGTCACTAACACACGACAGTCTCACCAACAGGACAGTCACTAACACACGACAGTCACTAACACACGACAGTCTCACCAACAGGACAGTCACTAACATGACAGTCTCACCAACAGGACAGTCACTAACACACGACAGTCACTAACACACGACAGTCTCACCAACAGGACAGTCACTAACACACGACAGTCACTAACACACGACAGTCTCACCAACAGGACAGTCACTAACACACGACAGTCACTAACACACGACAGTCTCACCAACAGGACAGTCACTAACACACGACAGTCACTAACACACGACAGTCTCACCAACAGGACAGTCACTAACATGACAGTCTCACCAACAGGACAGTCACTAACACACGACAGTCTCACCAACAGGACAGTCACTAACACACGACAGTCACTAACACACGACAGTCTCACCAACAGGACAGTCACTAACACACGACAGTCACTAACACACGACAGTCTCACCAACAGGACAGTCACTAACATGACAGTCTCACCAACAGGACAGTCACTAACACACGACAGTCTCACCAACAGGACAGTCACTAACATGACAGTCTCACCAACAGGACAGTCACTAACATGACAGTCTCACCAACAGGACAGTCACTAACACACGACAGTCTCACCAACAGGACAGTCACTAACACACGACAAACTCACCAACAGGAGAACCATTAACCACCAGTCACTGTAACACCATCACAACCCTACATGCCAGGATCCACAAAGCCTTCAACTCACCAGTTGCTTCTGGAAAAGAGAGCAGTCGTCACGTTCGCTGAGGTGGTGCGGGGGACTGTGAGCTGCAGGGAGCGCGAAGAGCACCACAGCCATCACCGCCGTCCCCACCAGCAACGCCGAGGCTGCCAGGTACATCTTCGACATCTTGAGCAAGCTCTAAGGAAGGATTATTATTATTAACATCTTTATTGACAAAATTAATTACAATTTTGCCTAATCTGAGGATTTTGATAGGTCTTATTAAAGTGAGGATAATGCTAGTATTCACTGTCACGCAGGACAGAGGGTCATACATAAGACAATAGGTCTAAACTGTAGGCCGAAGCACATATATATCATTGTTACAATCAATGTTTTAATGTATGGATACGTGAAAACAACTTTCTATTGTGCACTGCCACACAAGGGCAGGGATGGGTTCATAAGTGATGCAGCTTAGAAGTAATATAAATAAAAATTGTTCTTCATTCTTTAAAATGGACAAGCAAATTTTGGGTAAAATGTTAGGATGTCGTCCAGAACACCTGAGTCAATAAAATAGTTACACAGTTGGTGGTACAAGAGGCCAGGAGGTCTAAAGTCCTTTACGGTTTCACATTCATCAATATAGTGTTCTAGTGAATGCATTAAAGGTTTATCACAGAGTTTACAATCTGAATATTCTGGTAGTGGCTCAGCCACACTAGCCTGCCAGATGTGCCTATAGCCAAGGCGAATTCGCGCAATGACTACATCACATTGCCTAGTCCGGTTACTGTGCTGACCATACAAATACCTATTATTACAAAACTTGTCATAACTTTTAATACTGCAGCTTTCAGGTCTCTGGGCATTTCTTAGTTCTTCTAAATCTGAATTAATTTCTTTAATTTGTATGTTTCTAATAATTGCATTAGATAGTCCAAAGTCATAATCAATGTTTTCTTTCCTGCAAGCCTCATTGGCCAATTGATCTACAAAGTCATGTTTTCCAACTCCAACATGGGATGGGATCCACACAAATTTTATACAAGAGTTATTATCATTGGCAAAAATTACATTCCATTTAATATTACAAGCTACTTTCGACGTACATTGTGATGGGTTATTTAAGGACTGCAGAGCACTTTTAGAGTCGCAGAATATCACTCCACCACCATTGAGCTTAAGGTATTCAGTGGCTAGATAAATACCCAATAGCTCGGTCTGTGTCGTGCTTGCCCAGTTGTTCAATCTCTGTGTACTAGTCATGATCATTTCATTCCCTTTATACACTGCACATGCACAACCTGTTCTACCAGTGCCTAACTGCACAGAGCCATCAGTAAAGGCATAGGATTCAGTCGGTTTGAGAATTTGAAGATGACTGTCAATAGCTTCTAATGTTATACATCTCAAAATGTCAGTGTTATACATTTGTTTTACACTGATGGGAGTATAATGCAGAGACCTCCACATCTTTCCAAGGGGGAATATAGTGAACAGTTTTATCAGGGTTAAGAGACACATTCAGTTTCTGAAGATTATAGGCACAACAACTGAGCCACACACTGTAGGGAGCTTTTTGCGGCGGATTGAGGGAACAGTCAGAATTGTTTAGAATGGATCTCAATTTAATTTGAATAGAGCTGGGGGGACCATTATTTTTCAAAGTTTTGGCGCAAAACATAGTACTAAGTAGAACTATTCTTTCGTAAATGGAAGGTAAGTTTAGTTCCTTTCCCATGTTAACAATTCTGACAGTTCTAGGACAACCCAGGATGATGCGCATGGCATCATTCTGTACTACATCTAGGCCTTGTAATTGTTTAGGAGAAAAATTAAGAAGATGCAAGGCATAATAATCAACAACAGATCGTATAAAGGCAATATAAAAACTACGAGCATATTTTATGTTAATGCCAAATCCTTTGCCAACAAGAGTTCTGAGAGGTTTAAGACGCTCAACAAGTTTTTTACGCAGGTTGCTGACGAGATTTGTATCATTAACCTCGACTCCAAGATATTTATAAGACTCACAAGTCTCCACGGGCACTCCATTAATAGTATAGTTAGCATGAAGAGAATGGGGAATAAGAACCCTTGTTTTATCAACAGAGATTATGAGGCCACATTCTACTACTTTCTTGGAGACAAGACTTTACACATGCAAGATGTAAGGGAAATGGGTCTGAATTTTTGAGAGTTAGGTTTAGGAATTGGTATTATGAGACTTTGTGTCCATTTCTTTGGCAAGATACCTTGTGAGAGGCTGGTATGATAGAGGTCAAGCAGAGGGTGGCTAGGGACATCATTCAGTAAGCTCAAGGTGTTATAAGTTATACCATCCTCACCAGGGGCAGTTTGTTTAGGCTTCCCTAATGCTGATGTTAATTCAAAAGAGGTTATAGCAAACTGATCTGTTAAATCTGGTGAGGGAACGTGCTATTTCAATATTAAAGTTTCTGTTAATATTGGTATGATTTAAATGCTGCTGTATATCTGGGGGTAAGGAAGACATTTGTGAGACACTAGACCATTGAGCTAGGAGCATGTCAGCATATTCTGCAAGAGTATGATGAAGCTGGACTGGGGCTGAAGGTTTGCTAATGTTTTAAGTTTACTCTTTGCTCTTCCACAGTTCCGATAATGTGGAAATGATTGATTGGTGAAGATTAAGTCACTCATGAGGTGGCGCGGGCATGAATAGCCAGTAAAAAAAGAAGATTAGATTAAGAAGAGATTAAGATTACTTGATTGATGAAGATTAAGCCACCCAAGAGAGAGACCGTAGATTACTCGTTGTTGTTCTTGTTGTTTTAGCTTTAGATACTCAGAACGAAATGTCCATGTAGCACGGGCTATGGTGAGCCCGTAATTGAGTTCAGTTATTCGCGATAACCTTGTTACTGTGATATTTGGGTCAAGGTTTTAAATGTAGGTGGGGTTTCCTTCTTTTTCCCTGTTTCTTTCTCTCTTCTGTTTTAGTGCACTGGTTTTAGTCTTGCTTTAATAACATTATTTAACACTAACAATAACAATAACTTAAACCAAGTCAAACCCCTTAAAACCAAGTCTAGTGCCCTTGAGGAGATACCAACTTTAATTTACAAAAAAGCCTCCAGATCTTTAGCCCCTGCTATTGCTTTGCTCTTCAACAAGTCACTTGAACTCCAAACCTTTCCAGATATTCTAAAAAAAAGCGAGAGTAACTCCTGTCCACAAATGTGGTGATCTCACAGATGTTAACAACTACAGACCTATATCAATCCTGCCTAACTTGTCAAAACTATTTGAAAAACTAATCTACAAGCAGCTTTACTCTTATCTAGCCAAACAAACAGCGCTCTTTAAAAAAAACATACATGGGTTGACAATAGAGGGGTAAGGTAGGTTACAGGGAATTTATTAGGTATAGCTTGTTTTTATCTTAAACTGGTTGAGAGAGGTACAGTCTTTAACATGGTTGGGAAGGTCATTCCACATTCTGGGCCCCTTGATTTGTAGAGCATTTCTAGTTTGCTTAAGTCGTACTCTAGGAATATCAAAACTGTATTTATTTCTGGTGTGGTGCTCATGGGTTCTGTTACAACCTTCTATGAAGCTTTTGAGGTCAGGATTGGCATTACAGTTCAGCGTTTTATATATGTATAATACACATGAGAGAATGTGCAGTGACTTAATGTCTAACATATTCAGAGATTTGAGTAGGGGTACCGAGTGATGTCTGGGGCCAGAGTTGGATATTGTCCTAATAGCAGCTTTGTGTTGAGTAATTAGAGGACGTAAATGATTTTGGGTAGTAGAGCCCCAAGCACAAATACCATAGTTGAGATATGGATAGATAAGGGAGTAATAGAGAGTCACCAGGGCAGGGCGTGGTACATAATATCTGATCTTAGAAAGAATGCCCACAGTTTTTGAAACTTTTTTTGATATATTTAGAATGTGTCCCTGGAAATTCAGCTTGTGGTCAATGAGAATGCCAAGGAATTTGCCATCTAATTTGTTACAAATTTGGGTATTGTTTATTTTGAGATTTATTTGATTAGAGGATTTATTGCCAAACAGAATATAGAAAGTTTTGTCAATGTTAAGGGTGAGTTTGTTGGCAGTTAGCCAAAGATGGACTTTATTTAGCTCAGTATTTACTGTGGCATTTAGAGCAAGGGGGTCAGGACTGGAGTAAATGAAGGTTGTGTCGTCAGCAAATAGAATTGGTTTGAGGTGTTGGGAGGCATTTGGAAGGTCATTAATGTAGATGAGAAAGAGGAGAGGGCCAAGTATGCTGCCCTGAGGAACACCAATGTTGATGGGTAGGGTGGGAGAAATTGTATTATTCACAGAAACATACTGGAGTAGAGGGAGGATGAAGAGGGGGGGGGGGGTGAGAGGGAGGATGATAGAGAGGGGGGGTGAGAGGGAGGATGATAGAGAGGGGGGGGGGGTGAGAGGGAGGATGATAGAGGGGGGGGTGAGAGGGAGGATGATAGAGGGGGGGGGGTGAGAGGGAGGATGATAGAGGGGGGGTGAGAGGGAGGATGATAGAGGGGGGGGTGAGAGGGAGGATGATAGAGGGGGGGTGAGAGGGAGGATGATAGAGGGGGGGTGAGAGGGAGGATGATAGAGGGGGGGGTGAGAGGGAGGATGATAGAGGGGGGGGGGTGAGAGGGA